AGGTTTTGTCATCATCAACCTTGTCGAAACGTTGTACATTTGCTGTTATGCTAAACTTATATTAAAGTTTTTCTTCATTATCCATTCAAGCCATCTCCAGCCATTATTAGTCTCCAAGTGAGTTCCTCGCCGTCGAATTAGAGCAGCAGGAAGTTGTAGCACTGGTCTTTTGGCAGTAGTAGTTTCTTAATTTATTGAAATGGTGGCCTCTTTACTTTTATGTGTCATATTTCAAAAACTTGAGAAATTACCTTCTTTTATCAAATCTGTCTCTTTGTTTTCTGATATTTAGCATGGTTTTCTTATGTTCAGTGTTTAACACTTTTTGAGTCATAACAGCTTTAACTGTCACTTTTGTTTTTTTTGTCTATTTTGAACTTCTCTTCACAAAGCTAATAACAATATTTCTATGTTCCCAGAAAAACAAAACCCCTAGTTTTTTAACTCATGCCCAGCTTATATATCACAGTAATCTTCTTTCTAAAACCAAATAGAAAATTCTAATTAAACGCTTATTTAACTGGCTTCCTAATATTAAAAAAAAGAAGGGAGAAATGTCTATTGTAAAAAGAGGGAGACTAAATACTATTCATCCCCCACGTCCCCTACACACACTGGTACCCTCAACAAATATGTTCTACTAAGGGGAAGGTAACAAGAGAGGTAATATTATAAATTTACCACATCACTGGCAAATTAATTCTGGGGTAAAATAACTTATATTTTTCAGCCTTTCTATTCTATCATTCAGGCAGTGGCCAATTTTGTTTTGTCAGATGATGTTAGCTCTGCCTAAACATAGTGAAAAAAATGGTAATGAATCTTTATCTACTAGAAAGTCAGACACTACACGAAAATCTATGCACTATCAAGCTTTCTCAGAAGTTCTTCTTCAACTCAAACGATCAATCTAATTGTCACTATATTATGTATAATAAACAATCTATGAAGACATGACACAAGACAAGTACAAAATGATGCGTGTTTGTGGGTATTGATCTGTAACTTCTCTATTAACTGTAAATCTTAAAACTATACAACTTTATTTTTGGATGATCATGTTAATGTGTTCTATAAATGCACACTAATCTAATCCTATTATTTCATACCTTACAGACAACTTTCATTCCTTCTATTTCATCATCATCTAGGACTTTAATATGAGAGGACCCTTTTACAGCTTGTTCACTAAGAGGCCAACCTAAAAAAAAAAAGATGAAGATGCTTACTAGATGGTATAAATTTTGTTTTCATTAAATACAGACACATCTTTGAATTAGAATTTTTCTTATATATGCTACTTGGATGATGAATTCAACTAATAATCAGAAGTTATTACAGGAGCATCTATGAACACCTTCCATACGAGCCAGTCCAGCATCTTGATGTGGATCAAAAAAAATTAATCATTCTGGAAAAGTTAGAGTTGTTTTGATTGGGCAAAAAGATGTTTAGCACTATCTGAGGTCTAAGTTGCTGGCCTAGACCCTTGACCATGAGAGCCAGCATGGAGAAGTTAACTTGTAAATGTAAAGCAAAGTGATGTAGCAATGAAACATGCTTGAAATGTTTTAGACATGGTTGTGAATGTGATGGTTTAATTGTAGCGATGAAGCTAAATAGTGGGTCCAAGCTGGATGAGGGAAGAACTTGTTCGAAGATACCCCAATTGATTTGATGTGCCAGCCGAATCAAAGATTTGTCGATCAATTCCTGCGAAACGTAAAAACATGGGCATAATAGTATTATCAACTTCAACAAAAAAAGGGAGGATTGGAATGATTTCTTAGTTTCAATACTTGGTGAAAATAATAGCACAGTAAAGCCGAAAGATGCAGTGTTGAAATTGAAGCAGTTCACGATGCAGTATAAGATGATTTCACTAGTGATTCTCAAATACAAAGTGCCATTTCTGCAATGAAAAGTAAATACTTTTCAAAAAAGGAAGTGAATGCTGGATTGGCTAATATCAATCCTTCAAAAACAATGTAAACAAAATAGTAGGAATGGCATTTGCATCGTCTCTGTATAATAGCACAGGCACACAGTGTTGTAGAATGTTAATAGACAAAAATAGGATAAATTAAACTCAATTGTGATTGAATAATTATACATGTTGACGTATGTTAATTCTTGCTTATGCTATTATGTAGGTATGATGCAAATGCTATCCCTACTATCTCATTTGCATAGTTTTTTACGGATTGATATTAGCCATCCTTCCATTTACTTCCTTTTCTTGAAAAGTTTTTCTTTACTTGTTTTTTAATATAATGTTTCAATAAACATACGAAGGTTATATTCATAACCAAGTACTAAATACAATGAGGTTTCAACTGTAATATTTATCATTTATCTATTATTGGCTAATAATTCCTGTTTCACCCTGTACTTAAGCTCTTTAAAGGAACACTAAATTTCTGTAAGAAAGCTAACTTCAAGGTGTAATAATAATGTTGTTTACACTAAAATTATGATTTTTTTTAATTACTTCTAATTATAATTAACAATACTTATAATTGCAGATACTTCATTTGAAATTATTTCACCTCAGTGAAATTGGTTAACACCACTATTTTGGATTTCGAGTTATTATGTAATAAAAAGAAGCAGAAGAAAGAAGATCAAACAATTCAAAGTTTTTACTGTAATATTTTCAGACATCACCAGATCCTGTGACTCAGTCATTACATAGATATTGTTATAAAAGTAAACACTGTATAGTATTGTAAAGTTCTGATGACTTATTGAGGAGATATTTAAAATACCATTTGGAGGAACAATCCAAGCCATCCATACATAGGCAGTGCTACTTTCTGCCTGATAAGAAGGATGGTATAATGCCCAGTATGGTAACACCATAGTATAATCCATATAGATTTCATAATGTCATATTTTAATTAATATTTATGTTGTTTTTTTTTGTCTTAGAAATTGTGCTGAGCTTCATTCAACAAGATCAATCAAACAACCCTAAATCATCAGTTTCTGGAATAACCTCACTGTTGACCATTCTAGGCTCAATACTAAAAGATGCTGGGTTGGCTCCTGTGGTAGACTTAAGTTTTCTTTTACTCAACTTTGAATTTAGGGAGGTCTTTAACTTATCTTGCAAAATGCCAGTGGATTCTAGTGTTTAGGCAATAACCTTCAAGAAGTACTAGCATTTTTGCCACTTAATAGCCCAGGCATGATTATAAATATTCAGATGAATTGTAAACAATGGCCAAAATTATGTTTAAAAAAAGCTGATTGCAGGCACAACATTTATCAAAAACACACACATAAAATTAGATATGTTAGTGAGTATGGTAGATTGTCTTTTAAAACCATTCTGAAAGTAATGTATCTCTGCAATATTTACCCTCTACCTACTGCAAGCTGTATGAGGGACTTCAGCATAATTAAAAAAATATAAAAGTGTTTAGCACAACAGCATGGATACAAACACCACACCACTGACCAACCAACTTATGAGGAGTAGCATATACGGTTCTAAATAACGAGGAAAAATGGCCTGCTGGGATACAACAGACTGAGTAATGGTTGGGATGCTATTTATACGAGTACAACTTAAGAATAAATGTTATTGTTTAAAAGTTTCAAAGCCTGTTAGGAATTCAAAGATAGCAACAGAAGCACTACATAACCCAACCTTTTCAGCTTTAATTACATTATATCATTTACGTTTTCTTTAATAATTGTACTGGGTAAAATTTGGTAAGTATGTATTTACACTGTTGAATCAGAGTTCTCCAGTTTTAATATATCTATCTATCTATTCTTTATTTCTGCATTACAGAAAAATTGCAGAGTGATTTTGGATTTTTGTTGCTAAGTCCCTTTGGTTAACTGTCAATGTTTAAATTTGTTTATTTTGCTGGACAAATGAAAATTGCATCAAATGTTAAATTCTATAATTACAGTATTTACTTAAAAAAAAACTGAGTATTCGATACTCAAAATGAAAAATAGCAAAATATTTCTGATTTGTAATCAATCTTATGTTACAGTTTAAACAACTCACCCTTTTTGTGATCTGCATAGTCTGGTCGTTGAATAAGGTCCGGTACTTCCCGTTTAGGAGTCTGTAGTAATGAAAAAGTTATTTATCAGTCAAAGGTCATAGTGCAAAATAATACTGTACATACAATAATTAAATTATATGGTTACATGTGAGAGAACAATTTATTCTTAAAATAAGTAAAAGAGGACATCTTTCCTTCTTTCACACTCATAGTTTTAAAAATACTAGCACAAACTTCTGAAGTGTCCAGCATATCAGAAGTATGAGCAGAATAACTTAGCACTAGATATAAGTGGTGCATTAAGAAATATTTAAAAGGAAAGCTCTAAACTAAGGTATATTTGCAACAAGAAAGAATGCTTGAGGTTAACATAGAAGTCAAGCATATTTTAATGGATAGTTTTCAAATGTGGTGGTTCAAAATTTTCCTTACTTGAAATTATATATTACTAGTGAAAGTATCTGGCTTCGCTCAGGTTATTAGGTTGATAGTGTGTGTATTCTGAACCTATTTTAGCATAAAAGTATAACACAAAAGCCATTGTTGGAACACATTGTTACCAAAATGCACAGCTTTTCTATATATTAGAAGTTGTTATATAAGGAACCATTTCTTTTCTATGTGGTTTTTCACTAGCTTGCCTCATTAAAAAGATGTACACTCACATGGATAAGTAATAATACCCAGGTGCACACCATCAGGGTACACTTAGTATGGGTTCTAAATTTAAAATTTTTAGGTTCTTTCCTGTTGGAGCTATAGTGGTCACACACACACACACACACGTGTGCATGAACACACATGCGTGGCTGTTTGTCTGGCTGTGCTTTCTATTCATAATATAAGGAACCGCTTCTTTCTATGTGGTTTTTCGCTAGCTTGTCTCATTAAAAAAATGCACATGAGCACGTGGATAAGTAATAATACCCAGATGCACACCCTCAGGGTCCACATAGTATCATTGCAAAATTTCAGCTTTCTAGGTTGTTTCTTCTTTGAGCTATGATGGTGACATTTCTTTTCCATGTGTTTTTCTTTGCTAGCTTGCCTCATAAAAACATGCGCACACACATGGATAAGTAATATTACCCAGGTGCACACCCTCAGGGTCCACTTAGTATCTGTACAAAATTTCAGGTTTCTAGGTTCTTTCCTCTTGGAGCTATGGCAGTAAAACATACACAGACATGCACACACACACACACACACACATACGTGTCTGTTACTATGTGACTTCTATTTGTAATATAAGGAACTACTTCTTTTCTATGTAGATACGTGCATGCATGCACATGGATAAGTAACAATACCCAGGTGCACACACTCAGAGTTATGGTGGTCAAACATATACCCTTTTATTATTATAGATTAGGGAATGTTAAATTTATATGAATGTCTACAGTATAAAAAAGCTTTTGTCTGTATGTTTGTTTGTTAAGGCTCAAAATTTTCCAACTTCCCAGTCTCCGATAACTATCAAAATTTCAGGGATTCCTGGGTATGATACACAAGGATTCTAAAGTCCCTTACTACTAGCTGTCTTAGTGCCTACCTTATAATCTCTAATTGCCAAAAGTAAATGATGTAGCTACTTGGTTAGTATTCCAGATCATGAATTACATGGTATAAATTTTCAGTTTCACTGCTGCTAAAATGCATTCCACACTTTAATCATTTTCTGATTTTCATGACTTCAACCGGCATTTACATTTTATTTCTGCTACAGCTTTAAATGCATATTTTTTAAGTGTCAATGATGTTTTCACAAAGTAAAACATTTCACATTAAAGGAAAATATTCAAAGATACAGAATATAAAAAAAAAGTTTAATATATTTCTTGGGAACTTCTATTCACTAAAATGTGATATTAAGATTTGTACAACTTTTAAAGCCAATGCAAAAAATACTATGTGGGGCAAGAGTACTTTAGCAAATAACTATAAAGCCAAAAGTTACATTTACTCATAAAATGCTTACCTGTACTAACCCTACAAAATACAGTTACACAAAGCATTCTCATTAGTCCATCTTTCAGGATGACCTCTAAATGTTACTTGTAGAACAGTTACATATCAGGTCATTTTATTTAAAGATATGCCCAGACTAGCTGGAGCAACTATAATACCATATATATACCAAAGGCAGATAAATATAGAAGAAATTAAGTGAAAAATGTGAAATGTATACAATTTTTTAAATGGTAAAAAGTTTCCAGCAAATATTAATTACAATGATATTACTACTAGAAAAGCTTTACAAATACATATCAGGTTATATACTGAGCAACTATATGCTAAAACTAGCCCAAGAAGACTCTGAATGCACGGACAAGACATAGAACTCCAGGTAGTGACATATGGTGGTCATAGTGTGACACTGATCCCCCTATGACACTCCTTGGTAGGCTCTAAAAGTGCCTTCAAAGTTTAGTTGAGATTGTTCAAAAACTGTAAATTATATACCAATAAAAAATACTTTTACAGTAGAAAGTTTTCAGAAAATAATATTTATGATGTTGTTACTTACCTTGGGAAAAGGTCTCAACTTTCCAGTGAACTGAAACCCTGGCCATGGGATATATTCTGTATTTTGTTTATCATTTCCTGGAAAGAATGTAACAAATAATGATTAAACTTTAAAGTTCACTGTTCACTCATGCAAATCACTTAAAATATAAAATTAAAATATATTTTTTTTTGTAACTTTTGTTGGATGGGTATGTGTATACAAAAGACTACATTTAGTATAGTTAGTTGTTTTGGTGGGTGACCTTGATGGTCTTAGTGACCTTTGCTATCAAGGTCTTTATTCAGAGTGTTATTGAGGGATATCATTAATGGTAAATTAAATTTACAACAAAAACCATTCAACACATAAATGGTTTTTCCAAAGAAGTTGAACTTATGCTTTCAGAGGTTAAACTTCTTACCCCTTGATTCTCTGAACTCGGGTTCAGTCATTCTGGCCAACCTTTTAACCACAAAACTATAAATATTATAACTATGAATGTTCTTTTTCTTCACAAAATTTTGCATGCTTATAGTAAACATCAAAAGTCAGTTGTAGACAAAAAATCAGAGATTTGTAAATAAAGAATCTGCTTATTCTGTGGTTAAAAAATTATACATTAGAAAATACCAGAGAAACTTCTTGAAAGATGGAATGAGATAGGAGGGGCAGGGAAGTGGTTTGAACTTTGTTTATATCTCAATAAAGCAAGAAGTTTGGATGCTTATACATTTATATTATGGCTTAGAAACATCTAGAGTATAATTGTGTAATTGGTGGCACACTTAGAAGATAATATGTAGGTAGAAATAAAGTATAAAATGGGCAATTCAGTGCAAGGAAGTGTCATGGGATACAAAGAAGTGAAGATTGAGAATTTATTTTAATATTTCCTTTTGAAATTAAGAAATTAAAACTTGTATAATATTCACATTTGAATTGTAAGCTATGTTTTGATGATATATTTATTGACGTACATTAATAACATAAAGTTGTTTAATTAAATTTTGAATGTAACCCTGTAAAAAACGTCATGATGCGTACTTTGATCAATGTTGTTCCACAGAGTTTACTCTATGACACCCACATGTCAATTTGAGACATCTCTTGTATAGTTTGTTTTATTGTTTTACAAAAGAAAACAAAAACAAGAAAAAAACACTACTGGATGAAGTAGTTTGAAACTTCATTTTATAAAGATTACGTATGTTCTACAAATAAAATATTTATATGTGATATCTGTATGAATTTGCAGCTTTGAAAACTTTGAAAAAATTTAATTATGGCATGTTTTTTTTTAAGAAAGAATTAAAATGCTTAAATTTGTTGTAGATTTTAATTACTGTTCCTCATGTCTTCTTACATTCTTTTAAAACCTTCTGAAAGTTTTTATTTTATAAAACTGTAAATGTTATATTTGTTTTGATTAAAAACTGATTTAATCAATTTTAATTAATTGGTTGGTGAAATAATCAAAAACAGTAACAATATGAAACAATAATTTCAATTAACTGATAAGCTTATGTGACACTAATCTAAATAATTGCTGCTTCACAGGTAATGGATTATGTCATTAAATTGCCCAGCTCTTGTTGACAGATTCAGTTATACAGTAAACTTCCTGAGGTTCTGTTATATTGCCTTACCGAAATGAAAGAAAACTTTGGGTTTAAAGCTTGATAAAAATGTTTAGATTACTAATATATATATATATATCTGAAATAATGATACCTTGCAAAAATGCTGTCTGACCAAACCTGGTACACAATTACCGAAATTAATCAGTATATATATATATATATATATTTTAATGGAACAAAACAATCCTTAAAACTTGTCACAAGAAACAACTTCATAGTAATAATATGAAAACTACAGCCTAACAACAGAATATAACAAAATTAAGTTCCAACAAGGTGTTACCAGTTTCAATTAGACCTTCTCCCAAGAGAGTGCATCATGAAATAAGAACCTGTGCAAAGTAAAGAACACAGAGAAATGTGCAAATTAAAAGAAACAGAGTACTAAATAAAACAAATCTGAATAACAAAAAGCATCAGAACTCAACTGTGCCAACTGGGCAATCACAAATCACGAGTTTATTCTTGGCAGTATGATTCCATCGTATACCTTAAGTTATCAGACAGTAACGAATGAAATAACATAATGGTTAGATCTAATTAGCAGTGATTACAGTTATAATTAACCTCCTCCTGTTTTGGATTTGTGTAAAATTTCCTTGTTAGGCTATACATAAAGGATGAAAGAAGTGGAAACTGTTTTACATTTTTATAAAAAAAAATTACAAAACACAAAAATATACATATATACTTGTTTGTCATAGTAGGTTCTGGTTTATATAATTCTGTCTGGCATATAGAATATTGCACTAAATTAATCTACCAATAGAAGTTATAGTCGAGTCTAAATTTATTTCAAGATATTGAGATATGCTTAATTTGGCACTATTGAATTTTTTGGTGTTTCATAACAAGAAATGTTAATGTGAAATAATTATTAAGAGTTCAGTGTTGGTTTAAGACACTTTTCTTCTACTAAATTAGCTGAAATGCTCTTTACAATATACAAAAATAAAACCTGACTAATGGAAGTGTAAATGATGGATACTGCCTTACAGATATTCTACATAATCAGAATTATCAATCACATTTCTCTTATGTTCCATCTACTATGCATACTTTTAAAGTATTTCTAAACATTCAGTATGATTAATCATGTTATTAACGTTTCTGCCACTATGCTTTTTCAGGTATGTCAATTATCAGCCAATTATGATCTGTCTAATGTTCCCGTCAGTACACTGTACTTGGGTATTCTATAATAATGATAGGGCCAATAATCAGTTTTTGAGGTTCCTATGGTACACATTTAAAAAATTCTTTAACAATCACAAGACTATTAACCATGATTATAATGTTGCTGCCACTAATGCTTAATTTGAAACAATTATCAAAGTATTAATCATACTTAACATATTAAATTGTTCCTGTCACCACATTTTAACCAAATATGTAGCTTCAATACACTTTGTTCGACATTAACCCAAATCCAGAAAGCAATGACAATACTGCTCAAGTACATTATTATTTTAGGTTAAAACTGATACTTAACTTACAACATTACTACATTATAAAATTTTTCAGACTTATATTAATAGTGTAAATTATTTTGTTATAATAAAGGTTTGAAATTTTTTTTTATAATAAAAGTTCTTCAAAATACTTCTTTTACACTTGTTATTATGTAAAGACTGTATCTCTCTCTCTCTCTCACACACACATACACACTGTATGTACAGAAATAGTTACATTATTTTGCCAAATTTCATAAAACTTGCACCTGTGTACCTGGTGTAAATAAAAAAAACAAGTTTTAAAACTGTCTATACATACAAGACAATAGCCATATATCTAATAGATTAATGTAAAAATGTTGTACACATACCTTGACAATTTATTGTTTAGGATAAATAAACTTTTACTTACTTGCTTTTTTATGCACTTGTTTATGTATCTCCCAGTTTCCTTTAAAGCATTCCTGTGAATAAATATATGCATATACATACCCATATGTTATATACAAACATTTTTTCTCTAACAAAAATACTTTACAAACTATATATAAATGTGATTAATTTTGATCTTTATATAATATACAAGATAAATATTCACACTCATCTATCACAATCTTCTATTACGTGTAGTTCTATTATAAATCATATGGTGATTGTAATTATACAGTACTAATGCTCATTCTTTAGTGTATTTTTCTCAAGCATAAATTGCTTGCATTTTATTAACAAGTACACGTTAATGAATTTCAAAATTAATTACAGCAAAATTCTTGCTAAGCTATTTCAGATTAGAAAAGTAAATAAGTATCATTCAACAAAAAAATCCTGATAACCCAACTGCTTTCAGAAGTTAATCTCTCTCTCTCTCTCATTCGTGATACAGAATTGTTTCCATTCTTGTATGGTACTGTTTCAGAACATAACTGTAGACATGTGTGGGTGTAACTGGTTAAACATTAACAAGATTGCTACTGTAACATGGACTCTCTTATTAAGCAACATTTCATGCCTTATCCCACAATTGACACTTCAAGTCTCAGCTTAAATAGCAATATGTGGCACTGCATCAGAAATTAAAAATTGACACGCAACATTCTATCTGCTATTCTAATCTGACATATGACATTTACTGGCAAAGTACTAGGTTCTGGTTGTGTGTGTGATAAAAAAAAAGTTTGTCAACATCATGAATAACTTATAAACACATGTCTTGTACAATTTTACTAAGTAAATATTAGCCTCGAGTTGGTACACAGAAATTGGTTCTCTCACCCAAGCATCAAGTAGTTATCTGTTCGTGAACATTCAATATATATTGAAATGAAACTGTGCATATTCTCATTATACTAAGTGATATTTTTTTTCTTTTAAATTTGTACCACACGCTCCTCTTCTTTTTAAAACAAATTGTTAACTTCAAGTCTAGAATAATTTTTGGTTTCTCTATCTTGAAAAGCAAAATGTAATGTTGTGCATTTTAGCTTGTGACAAACACAATACTTACTTTTCTCACATTTTGACAGTGGACATAATTTAATATATCTTAAATATTGACACTGTCCCAGATACATGTAATCCAGAGAAACCATACCTACCATTACCAGTTAATTATCTTCAAACCATGGCTTAACAGAAAATGCATGATATTGTTCATTCCAACATCAAAGCTTGTGGCAGTTTAAGAATATTGATCAAAAAATTTTATACCTGATTTGTGAATCAATTAATAATCAAGCAATGTCTTCCATAAACACCAGTGTCAAGAAATTGCATTTTAATATGAAATTTATAACCATACAGAATGCTTTATATATTATATATTAATAGACTAAAAAGAAATCTTGCAAATACATTCATAAACATTTTCTTAATTGAGAACATGATTGTTTAATGGTCAGAGAGAACAAATGTGTATCTATGTTCAAGAAGAGATGTGTAATTGAGTACTTTCAAAAGAACCTCAAATTCACATCTATCAATTCTCACAATTGTCAATATTGCTTTATAAAACTATTTTAATTACTCTTCAACATTAATCATAATATATTTGAAGTTCATAAATACTAAACTTAACATACTCATGCATATATGCAGGGAGGGTTTGAGGGGGGTTCAGCCAACAGAAGTTTAAGGGAAAGCTTGCTAAATATTTGAAGAACAAGGTTTGGTTTCGAGATTTTTAGTGTTTACTTTAATTTAGTGACTAGGATGGCCCACATGGACCAAAATTCCTTTGCTGTTCTTTGATGTTTGTATTATAAAATCCTATATTAATTCTTGCTAATACCATACATACTTCGACACTTATAGAAGCAACAAACACTTGTACTATTGCTTTGAAAGATACATGCTTGTGAGTGTTACGAGGTTCAATATTCCAGTGAGACTATACAAAATTTTAGTTGGTACGATTATAAGAAAATGCTAGTTGGGTGGCTAAATAGCTCTATCAAAAACATTTTTTGTATTTATATATGTTTTGAAAAGTGAACAGTATTTATACGAAGAAAAAAAAATTAAAAGAAGAACCACAGAAACTGCCAGCAAGGGCACTACATCACATAAACTTACTTTAGATTAAATAAATAAATTTTCAGTAGCATACTCTAATAATAAATCTATGTTATACTATTTTAAAAGATAAATAACTTTATCAAACTTGAAAAAAAATTTTTGTAGCAAGTTTTCACAGAAAAAGTTTACTTTCAATTAGAGCTGAGTAATTTGGTCCATAAATCAATATAACTGACTACCTATAAACAGCAATTACATTGAATAATGTCATATAAAACTAACTAACTGAAATTAAAATTATTAATCAAAACTAATTTTTTGATTATTCCACAAATTGTTTAATCAAAATTCTGATTATATCAACTGTAACAAAAAATAACCAACTTATTGATATTAGTTTCCAATTATTACAAATAATAGAAATACTACTATTATATCTGTCTCTGTTATACACAAAGCTACATAATGGGCTTTGCCCAATTTCAGTCTTAAGTTGTTGGTTTGTTTTAATTTGGTGATTCTGGAGGGGGGGATCAAGGATCTTGGGTTAGATTCCCATTACCAAAAAACTAAATTACCTTTGTTATGGAAAATATATTATTAAGGCTATCTATCACTGTTACTAATTTTGAGCTTCTGACTAGAGAGAAGGTAAGTGGCTCACAGCACTCACTGCCAAGATTCTGCTTGTGCCTACCTTGGTTTGAGGAACACTGCACTTATCAACAAGTGGAATGTAATTGATTAATGGGGCTGTCCAATTTGATAAGCAAATACATTAAATGCTCTGATCTATTCCTGATCAATAGTTAATTTCATTTACTTTGACCTATTTTTTCTAGGAATGCACACAGAAAATAATGCAAGAACTATAAAAAAGCTTTTTTGTTTTTTTTAGATACAATCAGTGAAGTTACTTTTTTTGTCTAGAGTGGGATAATTCAAAATGAATCCAGTCCATATATTTGTATTGCATTTGATTAAACTGACCTGATACATTTGTATTGCACAAGAAGGAATCCAAAGCAATTACACATACTTTTTCCTGTACCCTCAATCATAGCTCCTAAAATTATTACTCAATTTTTCACTGTGTCACAGTAATGATGGCTCCAGTGATAAAACTCAGTAGTTAACATACAGTTTATTTTTCTCCATTTTTCTATGTCCTTTATTTATTTTTCTTTCTTATTTTGTTCTTATCTCTTTTCTTCCTCATTTTCCATGACCCAAAATTCTTCCTAGATTTTCAAAATAAAAATATATTCCAATAGTTTTTTGACACTTATTCTGAAAAATATTTATCCTGGCATTTATTAAGACTAATAGCTCACAAGTAATTTTTATCATGCCACATGAATAATTAATTTGGTTCCCAATTTTTTAACACATCTACTAATTGATCAGTACATTTTTTTGGCACATTAACTAATTCATATCTAATTCTTCTGTGTAGTAGTAAGTATCAGTTCACTTTATAATGTGATATCCTTGTTACAATATCTGGACCAAAATTGCATACTGTACTCTAAATGAGGCCTCATCAGTCTTGATAAAAAGTTGAAACAATATTCTTACTCTTAAATTCAAAATTTCTATACACATAACCAGGAACTCATTTTACTTTCTTTACCTTGGCTCAATGGTTAGCTGATCATCTTAAGGTGTCAAAATCCTGGACACTTTTTTCTGCAATACCAATGCTCCTATCACAATCATCTAATAATTAGATTATAATTTACCTACTACACAATTTAATGAAATGCTTAAAATTTGCTACTAAATTTGTTAATCCTTATGAGAAAATGTATGCATGTAGGCATATCTGCCTCTATATGCAGCTTATTCTTCATCTTTGTCATGCGACATAATAACCTTGCTTTCATTTCTGGTTGGTAATTCCTCATTATAGTCAAGTTCCATTTTTGATATGCCCAAAACATATATAAGCAGTTTTCAAAAGAATGAATTGACTTGACTTGTCTTCAGTTACATAATTTGATAGGCTAATCCATATGTTTACTATTTTCTAGGCAAGGATGAATTTTCTCATAATTAATCTACTTTTCTTTTTCGATAACTTGAATACATCCATTATACATGAAAAGTTTAAACAAAATAAATAATTATGAAACTCAATTATTGTATCCAAGGAAATAATTCATAACTTAATATGGCCTCTCAGTATCATAAAGACTAGTGAAAAAACATTTATTTGTATAACACACATTATAATGTTTAATATTACTCCAATTATCAACATAATTTGCAGACACCATTAGAAGAGGGTGTGCCACAGATATATTTACAGAGAACCATGAGAAAGGCACATCATGATCTAACTGTTACAATAACTAGCAACTGTACTTTCACACTTTATACTTCCATAAATAGAACCAAGAACTTAAATTAGCTTTATTCATCACAGCTACACACTTAGTTGAAAGCCTTAGGGTGTCAAAATTCCTCCCCCCGAGATACACCATTGTAATTTCATATGCACTCTTGGGGTCACTTACTGTTAATTAGAGAAACATATGTAAGCATTAAAGCTATGTCTGGAGAATGATGAGCAATCAAAAGTCTTGATAGGCTTGCAACCATGGTTTAAATATATCATAATGATGTAGGTAGGTCTAGATCATTCAAAGTATATCAAATAAAGTACCTAGTAAATTTCAAAACATCCAAAAACTTCACCATCTTTCCATAGTTAAATATTCTATTTCAGGAGTAAAAAGAATAAATAAATATGAAAAAGTGCACATGAAATGTGAGCCAGAAGTGTTTACTGACTTGGTTATGAAAGCTGACTAATCCTCATTAAATGTGTGTCAGTAGACAAAGAAAATGCCAAGGATGTGTTTAGGTAAAGTGAAAGGAATGATATTACATAGTTATATATAATTATAATAATAACTATTCTCTAATACATATATATATAAAGAGAAAAAAAGTTTACTTAAAAGAGCTAAAGGGCTTGATTCTGGAGACTAAATTGTAAAATATATAATAAAATGAAAAGATCAAAATGTTAACAAAAACTTTTATACTTTATTTAGTTATTTGTTCTTTAAGTTAAACTTTTAGAGAAAAACAATAAAGTAAGAAAATAGACTAAAACACAGAATAACCTTTCAGGTTCACAAATAGTAATAATAATTAAGAAACAAAAGGTGACAACTGTACATTAAGTAGAGTGTATTGAAATAAAACCATTTTTGAAAGGTAAGAAAGTAAACAGTCAAAGTATCAAGATTAGTGCTATTAATTTCTCTTTCTCTTTTTGATGTGAAACAAGTGTCCATACCTACAAGTTCCATGTTGTGAAGAGAGTAGTTGGGCATGAGATAACTTAATTCATAATAAATTAACAAAATTTATGAACTATCTGGCATTGGCTCATTTTCGAATTTAAAAGATTCTGTAATAAAGTAATAGTAATACTATTATTTGTAGTGTATGGTATGAGTGTATCCATATACACATAATGATTAACTTTAAGTGAAAAATGTTTCAACAGATATCTTGTGTACAATTTGAATTTTATACATTTTAATAAATTAATTTTCATTACACGTAATGCACTTTTCCTAAAGCAAAATACAACTTTCCTTTAATTATTTAGACATTATTATTTATAATTACGATTGTTTAATGACAAACTTATTTCTAATTCTAGTAATATCTATTCTACCGTATGCCTAATGTTATTAACCCTCGGTTCCACTAGGTCTCCACTACATCACGAGCACATGATGATATCGTTCTCCTTCTGTTGGTTTTTAAAACTACTAAGTATTTGAATTTAGATATTTAAACTTTAATGTAACTTACCTGTGAGCAGAAGTAGGAATCATTAATCCCAAGTTTAATGCATGTTGGACACTGCAAGCGAGCGGCTTTATGACAATCAGTAGTCAAACAACATCGGTCTTCAGATAGGACTATCGACATTTTATTCCAAGGCAAGGGTAACTTACACAACACGTTGTGTTAGTAACGGATACTTACAGTTATTGACACAAAAGTTTACTCAAAAAATATAAATCATAGTTCTTGAATTTTACATTTTTTTAAAATTTATAATTAATTAATGTTTTCACGTAAATACCAGAAATCTTCAAATGAGATTTTTTCAAAACATTTATGAAGTACTAATTTTTTTTTAAAAACATATGTTTAGAAAAACGTTTTCAATATCTCTTATAGTTCTGTAGTTTTAAATATTAGACTTTTTTTTCTGAAATTTGCACAAAGCTACATGAGGGATATCTGCGCTAGTCGTCCCTAATTTCAAACTGATACACTAAAGGGAAACGCACTAGTCAGTACTAATTACTGTCAAGTCGTGGGCTACTCTAATCGAATAATGGCATTTAACCATCACTCTTATAACACATCCAGGACCCAAAAGAGTGAAATATGATTTTTTATTTTGCGATAACAGGTCTCAAACTGCGGAATCTCAGATGTACAGTTCAATACGCCTTCCATTGGATCGCTCTCGGCCCCTCGCTTGTGGGAAGTTTGTTAAGTCATTATAAGAAGCTTATTGGAATGGAATTGTGGTGTTGAGTAATAACCTGTGATCATGGACTTCGAAATGAACACAGCTAACGATATCGTCCTTATGAAGCCTACGATTATCTACTATAAGCACCCTAGTTATTAATTTTTTAACTGTGATTTATTTATTTTGTGGTAAAAATCCTTTCATAGTATCACAATAATAATATCATTAAAATATAAGATAGACAATAACAGTTATACGATCAGATTAAAGAACGAATTTGTCATTTAAAGTGAATTCAAGTTTCAGATACGACGAAAAACAGTTTACGCTCGATTAGCGTTATATTGACTTCATCTTTCAAAAAACTACATATTAGGGTATGAGGCAGAATTCAAGATTTCTATTCAACTTTGTTATACAGTTGTAACGTATTATGTAGTCCATTTACAAGGCTTGTAGTGTCCTTACAATGAAAAGAAATATAAGTGAATGACAGCATAAGCCATTTGACTAATCGTGATCGCCTATTATTTTGTAAACATAACTACATTAAGCACAACTTTTAGTTACTTCTACTTTATATGATGTTCCAAACATTGATTTTTTAAATCAATATTGTTGTAACAGTGTCTTTAATTTTTGAGGTATAATTACTGAATTGAAGTGTAATATAGTAACTCTTTGATTACACCTACATTAAGATAAGTAGTTTAATTTCGCGAAGGGATTCATGTATGTCATATCATAATTTCTTTGAAATTAACAAATTTATTAACTATCTGGCATTGGTCTATTTAGAAATTTAACAGATGCTGCAATAAACAACAAGGCAAAGATAATTTACACAAAAAGTTATGTCAGTAGTGGATACTTACTGTTATTGAATCACGAGGAGTGATTTCTGACAATTCTCCTGATACTCTTGAGAGCAAACTGTAAGAAGAACTAGAAAGCCAATGCAAAACAATTTTCTATTACTAGAGTGGTTTGATTTTAAAGTTTTAATCTATGTCACCTACATTGCAAATCCTTTAAAGTTCTGTTAGCTCCAAAGATCTGGAAATATCACCGCTCATTGTCAGTGTCGTGTCAGATGTTCCACTTACGGTGGTCCTCAACAAAATATAAATTAGGGTTAATACCCTCAGTTAGTAGAGGTGATCAATTTGTGTAAACTGGCCCTTGTTTAGTTTAATTTTCAGAAGAATGAGTGGCAATTTGGTTGGGAAAGAGTTCAAAACCCTGATAGAAGGATGGAGCAATAAGTTGTGAGATAGAATATCTGCATATCAGAAGATATCTGAGACTAGGTGACTGGTTGCTAGATATTTGGCTTCTCCTGTCGCAATATCGTCTCCTGCCTTAATACGTTCAATTTCGTGTTTCCAGTCCATCTGCCTCAGAATAGCTTAATTTCAGTACATTCAGTATGCGAGGGCATCTATTGTGTAAGAGATTAACGGATATGCTCAAGCTTCATAACATTCTGAACGAATTAACATTATCTCTCAAACTACTTTTAAACAGCTCCATTTTATTGTCTGGCACCAGAGAATAAACATTATTTTCCTCAGTCTGATGATTACCATACTTTCTATAGCATTATATAATGAAATACTCAAGGTCTTTGAACTCATGACTCCGAGCTAAAGTACTTCTTAGTTAAGACTAACCTTCACGTTCTTTGTGTATACGAATCTTGGCTCAGCCCTACTGTTCTTTATAATCTATCTGCTTATGACACTTACCGGAAAAATAGATTTAATCAGGGCTGAGATGGTCTGATTTTCTTCCTCAAGCAAGATGTGTATTATTTACCAATTGCTATTAATAATATTTCCCCTTTAGAAGTTATGGGTATTAATTTACATAGGTTTATAAAAGATAAACATTCTTAACATTTACAATCACTGTGTCAACTTCTTACATAGCAATCGTGTATCATTGACTGATATTGCCAGTTCCTTCCTTGTTCTCTGTGGTAATTTTAATGCTGTGGTTTTATTCAATACTTGACCAGTTTCTTAATGAAAGGGGATTTGTTGTTATTCCTAATGATGGGTCGTCTACTCGAGTTGATTCTCTTACAGGGAGGTTGTCAGTGCTCGATCTTCCTGTTATTACTGCTGCATTTTGTGTTAAGTTTATTTGGAGTGTGCATTCCTGACACTTTTGACAGTGATCGTTTTCTCAATCTTACAAGTATTCGTCCCTCCTCTGGCCATTGTGTGATGAGTTTTTTCTCTTTTCTGGAAATATAAAGAAATTTAGTGGTCTGTTTTTATTTCTACCATTGACTGTCTTCTTCACAATGTGGCACCAGATGTCTGTATAACTTTTCTCGCACCATGTTAACTTTATAAAAAATTTATTTGTAAACACCTGCAGTAAACTTATGGATCTTCTCCGTTAAGCCTTTGGACATCTGTTGAGGAATTTCTTTCAAGTTAACTATAAAATATTCCGTGTTTAAGTGAAATGATGTATAAAAGTCTGGATGTGAACTACTTGGAGGAAAGTCTACCTAATTTCTTTTATATATATATTCTCTCCTCATTCGCGGGTTTGTGATCTATTTTAATGGTTTCTACTTTAGAAAAGCATCTCAAGGAATACTTCCTAAGTTCACGAGGAGGAAAACTGATTATTTAACCATCTGAAAAAAATGGGATGTTTTCTGTTTCATTTTACTCCATTCGTGTCAACAAACTTGCTCTGTAATACAGTTTTGATGACACTTACCTAACTGAATCACATTAACCGAATTTCAGAAAGCTGTCCACAAACGTGACCCTGCATGATTCTGTTACCTACTCCATGATACAACACCTGTGGACGTTTTAACTGTACATTTTCTCTTGACTCTTTTTGACGATAGTTGGAAAGTGGGAGTTGTTCTCTTACTTGGAATGTCACAGGATTGATACCTATTGCTAAACCCACTGGTTCTTCTAATTTTTCGATTTTTTTTACGTTCATGTATTATCAAGACGCTTAAAAACGTGATCAAACTCCACATTTCTTGGTCTATTGAATATGCTTTCAACCAATATGACTTCCACTGTGGATTCAGTACGATGTATTATTTAATTGCTGTCTAGGAATCCGTTGATATTGTCTTTACTGATGAAAGGAGTGCAATTGTTCTCTTTTTTATATCTAAGTTGCATTTGATACTGTTTGGATTAATGGTTTGCTTCATAATTTGTAAAATCTCAGATGCTCAACTGACTGTGTAGTTTGCTAAAAGACTGAACTTATTGTATTAAAACTGGGAGTTCTATATATTCTATATACACAGACGAAACAATGACCTTTTCCAAGGCTCTAAACTCAGTCCTGTTTTGTTTAATATCATAACATCTGGCCTGGAACAATCATTACGTCAAGACATATACAGTGATATTTTTGTAGACGATGTCTCAGTTTACTGATATGGACGTTGTACACGTTTTATTTGTACCTTTCTAGAAGCAGATCCTAAGGAAAGGGGGGGGGGGTAAACTTTACAGAGCCCAGTAGTTCAAGGGACCCATTACCACTAGAAAAACATTCAGGCTAAATTGTAAAAGTCTGACTAAATGTTATTCATATAATTAAAAGTTATACCCACATTTTCTTCAAAGCCTCATATATGTACGTTTTAATATGTTTTAAGGGTTTCAAGTTTGTAACATTGGATACTGCACCGACTTCGACTTCCATTTTGTAAACAAGTGAAGTGTTGTCTGTGACTTGACTTTATGAGTTTTGTCCAAGGTGACCATAAGTATCAGGTGGTCAAGCTGGGGCACCATCAAGCGTCGCGAAATACCAACTCAGTCTAGTCCTAATAGTTTAATATTCAACGTAAACGACGGCATTCTAAAGTAGTACAATACTACTTTAGAATAGTACTATATTCGGTTTATATTCTTCAGTAAACGTAATGTTATATATGTAGTTTGCTAGTTACAAAAGTTCGTATATCATTTTATGATAAAAATGTTTTGTTTATAGGCACAATTCTTGATTATAAACATTACAACTAATTTAGTTTCATTCACATGAAAATAAATTCGCTTAAAATTGTCGTGAATACTCAATTTACACTAAGGCATGACATTAGGGCATTATATTTGTATGTTTTAAAAACAATAAAGTGTATGTGCAATATGATTGTCTATTGGGCCGTTTGCAACAATTTTTTGTCATTCCAGATATTATTTCAATAAAAAAAAATTACATTGCGTTTATTTTTAAGCAAAGGAGACGGACTACAATGCATTGTTGGTAACAGTGTTTGGGTTTCGATGCAATGGGTGCATCCAGCACAAAAGAGCACTCATGTTCGTTAAGTAGCCACGGGGATTTTTTTCGTTGGATGCTACCGTTCCTTGTCATTTTACTGAGCGCATGAAGAGACCGCTACCGAAGTGCACGTTTTTTGACAGTTGTAATTTCTATAAACAGTGTTAAAGGGGAAATATTTAATTCAATT